ATAACATGTTTTGGTTTCTCTTCCGGGTCTTTAGGTAGAATAGGAATTGGTGATCGAGGTTTGGATGGTGTAGGCGGAACATTTACCTGCGGTACCCTTACCTGAGTTTCCAGCGAACTGTTGTGTAGGATATAATTATTAGCATATTTTTTGGCCGTGCCGGCTTTACTGATTTGTGAGGATTCAGAAGTTTCAGACTTTATCCAGGGATCGAGCCCAGTTTCTTTCTTATATCTTTCATATAACTTGGAACGAATATTATCTGTTAAAATTCCAATTAATTTAGCCTGCCAATCTAAATATTCAGGGGTTAGGCACAAAGTGTACTGCTTCGTAGAGATTTTATCGGACTTGGTCTGTGTATTCATGTTGCTGTTTTATATGATTACAAAGCTTACCCAAAAGCTGTGCATTTTCTTGTCTTAATAAATCAATCTCGGATTGCATGTTTGTCATTCCTTTATATAAGACGCGAATTATTCAAAAGTTATTTATTAGCTTAGATAAAAACCGTGACAAATGACACGAGTTAAATAAAAAATTCTTTTTATGTGGCATCGACATCCATACATTGAAATAAATTCCGAAATTGTTTGCAAAAATTGAACACGATTATGTATGCGAAATATATGTTTTTATTATTCCAATACAACCATACACAAAAGTTAAAAGAATCGAAGTCCAACTGTGAGCAAAATTTATCTTACAATATATATATATAATGAAATTTTGCACGAAATTTCCTCATGCTACTATGGAGTTTCAAAAATTGGTATGGCAGTTCGAGTTCGAATCTGATTAGGTGGTGTGACAGATCCTAAACGCGTTGCTAATTCAACGTCGATTTTATCAATGTGTTTAACTGTCTCTTTAACTAACAAATGATAATTATATAATGTTTTGGCTATTTTTTTAATAAATTCCAATGAATTCGGTCCAGCTTCTAAAGGTATATGAAGGTTTTGCATGCTCCGAATTCTATAAAATGGTAAAAATTTGCAATCCATAATTGACAATGTCAAAAAGTAACCTAGCAAAGAATAAAGTTATTGTATAATACATAATAATATACAGTATTATAAATATTATAAAATAACAATTACCATGAGATTGGATTATAAAAATATTTATGTTTTTTCAGCGATTTATAATCCTGTCTAGAAAAAAGATTATATATGCTTTCAAATGATATTTTACCGAATTTTGCTAACCTCACTTGATCTCCATATATATATGATCTAAGTTGTTTGGATGATTGGGACCGTATGATGTTTCTCCAAATACTATTTCATAATTATGTGATCTGTTAGCTACACTTTGTATATAACCTTGAAAGTCTCCTTTTTTCGATTTGCATCGCATGGTATAGGTTGACTCGATACGACCATTATCCCTACAGATAAACATAATGATCGATTTATTTATAATTAAAAAAGAGTGGGTAATTTATAAAATACTGTACAAGCGAATAAGTACCAATTCTGGCATATCTTGATATTATGTAATAAGTAATCGGTGATTGGTCCTACAACGTCGTGATTCCACGTACTTTCGATGATAAGATCACCCTTTCTGTAGGTCGGGTTTTCCCACAATCTTTTGCTTGAAAAGTAAAAATAAAACCTATTTTTTAGTTTATAAATATTTTTCTATAATCGTTCTGGAAAAATAATAGATACAGACATCTTATCAATTAAACTATTCAGAGAACGATATTCCTCTCTCATGAATTTGCCATTAATCGAATTATAGTATTTGTCAGGGATTCGATCGTCGTCATAAAGAACCACACGTTCTATATGCCTTTCAAATTCTGTAGGAATATCATGTACTATAATTTCTTCGTTAACAAGGTGCCAAACGCCTCTCAATTCTAAATGCACTTTTAATGAACATGGCATTTTCCTCGTGTCAATTATACCCGATAAAATAACATCATCTTTTTGAAGATCCGAAAACTGGATCCAATTACATAGTATTTTTACGATATTATCATCGCTATCTAGCTTAAAAAATGAGAAATTATTACTTAATACCTAATCTACTATAATTATTACATAAGAAGCTAAAAACTAACTTAGATTTGAGAGCCCTAATTTCCCCCACCACTTTCTGATTGGACACAATAGGTAGCCTCTGATTGGGCAAAACAATTACGCCAC